GTACATACACACAGTTAGCATACTTGTTTATTTGGACTCCTTTGTGTCCATTCCTTTTATTACATTTTTTGTGCAAGTAGAAAGAACAATAACAGTCTTAGAAAGATATTATGATAAATGCTTTTCTCATTGGATATGAAAAGGGCATGTGGAATGCCAGCATACCCCCATATACCATAGAAAAGGCCATTTCACTATCTCACTCAGACGACTAGGAGTAAACTAGAGAGTGGGACATGGATCTACTTCCTATAAATTCTGTAACTTAAAATCTGGTAAAATAGATTTGGATGAGCTGGGGTTCCTATTTTATTCCATGGTATTGGGTATAGTAGTCACCTATCCTACTCCATTGTTTTTTAGGTTACCAGGAAAGAGCTTTACCTTCCAAACAGCTTGGTATTTTGTCAGGTTACAGCCAGGTTTGATTCAGGTGGAAATAATCTCACCCTTGCTGTATAGATTTCATTGTGTAAAGGCTTCCCTCCCACCCCCATGCTCATTACCATACACTCAAATAACAAGCACTTACAAAGAACATGTGGTCAGAAAGGGGCATAATGCTCCAAAGCAGCAGGTATTTTTGTTCCTGATGGTAGATGTGAATATGAGATGTGTTTGCCACAAGCCAGCCTTCCAGCAGTAAGTTTTCAGAACTTGACAAGACAGTAAAGAATACCTCTAGAAGCAATTGACCCTGAATGTATAAGGGAGACAAAAAAACCCATAAAAAACAGCACAGTGCTGTTATCACACTGCAACCTACTATATTATCGATAGTACTAGTTTGTGCCACAGGCACCCTTGCATCCTATTATATACCAGCTCATTGCTATCAATAGGTATCAAAAAGAACAAAGTAGTCAAAAAGCAAAGAAATTGGAGGGAGAAAAATGATAAACCTCACAAACATCAGACTGAATGAAACATATAGTTACACTGATGTAATACAAAATGGCACACTATTACCTAGTGGAACTTACTTCTTGTACTGTGGTGTAGAAGTCATGGGCACCACCATTTATCATAGCACAATCTGCCAGACTCACAGCACGTTGTGTTTTCCTTCATAGTAATTAACAGAGGCATGCATCTTGCTAAAATGTTTGCAATGTGGTCTTTTACTATTTACAATTTTCTTGCCATTGGACATATTGCTTAAATAAATATCTAAGCCTGATGCACTTTTTACCACCATTTGTAAACTGTTACAAAGAGAAATTGCTTTCTTTCTCTGCTAATTGTTGAGACCATATGTTACCGGAAGCAAAATGAGCATTGAATAAGATTTTACATTGCATCCAAAGTGAAGAATGTATTTTAGACACTAAACCCTGGATCTCAGCCCTGAAATCCTATTTTACACTCATTTCTTTGGCTTTGGAAAGACATTAAGACAGTCTGTAGCTTACTAGCAATAAAATATTGACATTGACAATCCTAGTTTAAGCAGATGTTCTGCAGATGCAGAAGATTTAGAATGTGTTCTGGACAAGCAGCCTGAAAATTACTCTCTCACAGATGAATAAGCATCAATACAAAACACACTGTCGCAAGCCTTGTATTTCTGTATAACAGATAATGAAAAACCATCTGTCCATTGTAGTAATTTGCCAAGAACCCAGTCTACCATAACATTTCACTTTCCTGTATTTAAAAAAAAAATCAGTAATAAACAATATTTCTGAATTGTTTTCATTCTGTCTGTAATCACTGGAATGAAATCTTCATTGTATACCTCTACCAAGGTCAGTGATGTAAGTAACAAACAGATTAGAAATTTAAAATAGACTGTGCTTCTCTTTTAGTTTAGCATGGAAAAACAGAGGTTTGCATTAAAATGGATATTAATCTTTTTGAGGGACCTCCTTTATTTAACTATTGCATGAAGAATGCATTCAAATTAAAAGGCAAACATAAACAAGTGTTATTTTGGAAAATATTTTTGAGGCTATTTACAAAAGGCATGGGCATTAGTTAAGGTTTTGAATGAACTGTTTTTTAAACAAAAGGATCTATTTCTAAACTTAAATTTTCAGAACATGCTGGTTTAGGTCTAATAACTTCCTCACATGCGTGTCTTATAAGTTCAGATTTTCACCTGCTCATAAACAAAATGATACCTTTTTGCAATCGGTTAACATTGCCCTCACTAGGTATTTTTCATGAATGCTAAGGACAACAAAAACTATACAACGTCAAAAAAAAAAAAATCAGACTGCTTCTGCAACTTTCATTCACCTGCTTGTGATTACCTTTCATTACATAATTATGAACATTTTAAGTCTCTAGGACCAATGTCTCATTCACAAAAACAGTAGTTAGTGAATGAGACAGGCATGGGGTGGTGGGGGGGGGTGTTGTTTGTTTGTTTACAAAAGAACAGGATGTTCACTTGTGTTTATTAGACTAGAACTCAGGAGACCAAAGGTTTATTTCTTGTTTTCTCACCAATTCTTTATACAATGTAGGTTGGGTACAGTTGATTTCCTTAAACATTTATTGCCTTGCTTTTTAGAGTTTACATTTGTGTTCAAGTATTCAGTGCATAGACAAGAGTTAAATAACACTCAATGTACCATATTTACTCAAGTATAAGACATGTATTTCCATATATAGAATATAATTATAGGGGGTTCTATAGATTAGATTGGCTTCTATATATGGAAAAAATTTTAATTTGTTAAATTTTTCCAGGTAAAGAATCTAATTATTGGAGATTTGCCTTGAATTTCCTCCTCCCCACCCCCCATTCAACTGTTACATTACATTAGGTAAAATAAATCTGAGGTGTCAAATAGCTCTCTTGCCCTCTCCCCGCCCCCCCCCCACAACATCTTCCCTCTTCATCCCTTTCCCCTCTCCCACTTACTGTTATACCCTACTCTTCCTGAGCACATGGAAGAAAGGGACAAACTTGAAAAAGAATGAACTTTGAAATAAACATATTAGTAGTAATTTAGTTCATTCAGAATTGATACATTTAACCTTTTCTGAAACAGATGCAAATTTTAGCACAGGTATTCCATAAACACACTTTTAAACAGTACTTTTGCACCTATTTATATTTAGTACAAACTATGTATGATGTTAGTCCAAAGCCAAAAAGTTCATGATCTACCATGCAGCTTATTGGGCAGGGCCTCATTTCAAGCTGTGGTGACCCCATAGCTCAGCTTTGCTGGGTATGTGTGTGTACTCCAGATCCCTCCCTGCTACCCCAAAAGATCCATGAGTTGAACCTGGTGTCCTTGTCACAAGTCCTTGGATCCTCTTAAAATGTATATACAAATAAGGTGATGGCAGCCTGGTTCATCTCCCCCTCATTGAGGGCCAGGGCACATTAATTATTTGCTCCAGACTGAGAGCGGAGGTGACAGAGGGACTCTGGGTAAACTCTTTGGGACCCTATTTGGTCAAGGTTGCCAGATATTTAAGACGTATGAAGAAACAGGAATCTTTAAAAATGATAAAGAAAGGCACAGTTCAACTGTGAAAGTGAGGAAGAAGTAAAAATGTATTCAATATAGTGGCTCACCATGACTTGAAGAGGAGATGGCACTGAGAGAGAACTGTGCACAATGGGTACTACCATATCTGTTATTCAGATGGGTTGCACTAATCTATGGTAGGTTCCTATCAGTATGTTTGTCCAATATGGGCTGTGTGTTTTATAGTCATATTCAAGTGTTGGCTACATTTAATTAGTTTCATAATTAGTTTCCATTACTGAGCATATGCTGCTTTTGGCATCAGTTTAATTATAGACAATATCTTTAATGAGGTTTCTTTGTATATATACTAAAAATATAAGATTACAAACTTTTTCTCCCCCAGCTGATTAGGGAAAAAAAACTCATCTTACATTTGAGTAAATATGGTAATTCCTTTTGCAGCAACCACCTGAATTATAGATCTGGGTATAAGGAGAAGAACATTATTCCCTCCTTATAATAAACCTCCCTCCTTATAATAAACCTCCCTCCCAAGGGAGGTGGTGCTCTCCCCTACCCTGGGGGTCTTCAAGAGGAGGTTAGATAAGCATCTAGCGGGGGTCATCTAGCCCCAGCACTCTTCCCTGCCTATGCAGGGGGTCGGACTCAATGATCTATTGAGGTCCCTTCCGACCCTAACATCTATGAATCTATGACTCTATGAACAGGGACTGCACACCCCCATGTCAAGACAACTGATAAGTGGGTGAGGGGAAGTAGCTCTGAGTGCACTTACTCATCTTTGTGAACAGCTAATAGAGTTAGCTGGACCTAATGGCTGGGAGGGCATGCCAGGTATTTCATAGGACTAATATGGCAGTATGCACTACATAGGGCATCCTTGGGGCACAGTGATTTTCTTGGATTTCTCCTAGAATTGTGCTACCACATGCTGCTTCATAGCAAGAAAAATTGTATTTCCATTGTTTTATTGACTGTCATTGGGAAGAACAGTTATGGTGAAAGGCTGGCTTGTTGGAAAGCAGTGACAACGTTGCTACTGATTCAAGGGTCAGGTTTTCACCTGTAAACTTATGTAGATAGATACTTATACATGATTGGTTAAAATGAGAACTAATCAGGTTGTGTGTATTATTTATCATACACATTTTTTTCTGAGGCTTTCAGTCTATTATAGCATAATAGAAAACAAGCTAAAGTGTTATTTGTTTCCTGTTCATGGGAGTGAAAAATATAACATTTTAAAACTAGAGAGATATCAGAAAAAGAACAGAGCCCCTCAAATTATATGGCACTGTATCTGTTACTTGTACATATTGTGAACTCAGACCCAGCAAATGTATTTATACATGCTTAACTCCATGTAGGCATACAGTCTCATTGGCTGTCAATGTGTGTAAAGCATAGCAGTTGCATAAATGTCAGCTACACAGTGCCACTATTATTAATTAGCTCAGACGTTAAGAAATTGCTGAAATCTTCAGTGCTTCCTTTGTGCTCCATCTTAGCTACTTCTATTTGACAAAAAACTGTTACACATTTCCAGTGGGATTTTGTTGTCATTAAAGTCTCTCTTTGCAAGTAGGTTATCACACTTCCGTTCTGCAAAGAATGCATGGTACATAAATTAAAAGATGTCATCTGCATTTCAGCTCTGATCAAGCCATAGGAATTATGAATTCAAGGTGCTTGGAATGTTACAGATAGTTTCCAAATGTGCAGATAACTTAGTTACAAACACAACTGAATAGCCCTCCACTGAGCTGCTTCACACTCCCGCCCCGCCCCG